GGATGGTTACTCGGTTCCATGTGCTATCTGCTTTGGCTTTGAATACTTGGACTTCAGTGTGATTTTGCATTCTGGATTTCTGTGCTTCGTCCATACTCATGTTCCTTGCAAAGTGGTCCTGGGCCACTCTGGTAGCCTAGATTTTATCTCTATAAATTTATACTGTAGATGTCAAATGACACATAGTACTCAATCGTACAATTTTGTTTGGTGCCCATCATAAACTTCCATAGCCAGAAGCACAGCAAGTATATGCCAAGGTTGGGTAAAACATGGAATTGTAAGGTGAAATACAACTTGCCAAGAAATGAAAACAGATGGAAAACCATCATAGTTGCGGCGCATTTGCGCATTGCACATGTGGCCCACGCGCAGATGCGCCGGACAACCAAACCAAAAATCAGGGTCTCTTCCCCCCCCTTCCCCCCCCCTTAAAAAAGTGGCGGGGGATGATTGTACAATAAGTGCGGTATCAATAAGGTCGGAGATCTTTGGGACCGGAAAAGTAGCGAGTGGAAGGACAAGGACAAGGACGAGGTGCTTGCCCGACTACTCTACCAAGACGACTACTCTACCAAGTGGTTAAGTGATGATAAAGGGGCTTCAGTCCATTATTGCTGCCATTCCAAAGGATTGGCTGCAAAAAAAGATGAAGGAAGATACCAGAGAAGTCAGCAAGTGGGATTGGATCAGAGAGGAAATGTTTGTTCGTGACGAAAGCTCCTCATGGTCCAGATTGGTGGGGAGCATCACCTGCTGGAAACCGGGTCCAGCGTCCCTTGATTGTACAACTTGAGTACATTTTGAGAATAAGAATAAATAAGAAAAAGGACTCTTCAATTGAAAAAGACTGTCACTCCCTACCTGCCAACAGAAATTGAAACAACATCACTACCTCTTCATCCATTCCAGGACGTCAGATATACCTGTTGAAACTAGTAGTGATAATTCTATAATCCATACCATCAGCTGGGAACAAGGGCTGTTGCTGGGGACGGAAAAGAAGACCTATCTTCCTGGTGATTGCGAAGCGACTGAAGTATAGAAAAAAGGTACATCGACCTCTGGGAAATGTAAAGGTCACACCAAACCAAGCCCTGAGCTCACACACACGTCTACCCAAGTTCCATTCTGATTCAAGACACATGCTCCAAATCCCGACTCAACATCGAATCGAATACCAGCAACAGATTGGAATCAGGGTTGCCCCACCTGTGGGTTCACATTCAATTCCGTTTGAGCCGGCATCACCCCCACGCTACATCTATCGATGTCAAATTTGAAGTCAACCCTAACAACACCTACAAAGTCAACCAGCAACTCAAAATCTACGTCACTTAATTCCCTCAATCATCATCATCTTTAGCATCATGATCATTAGTATGATTATCTCACAGTTTACACAGAAATTCATCATCATCATCATCATCATCATCATCATATGAGGGAAGCTGAGCCCGGTTCTCAGCTAGTTCTGTTCGGTCACCCTGGGTAGACTGTGAGGACCCCGGCCTCAATCTTCTTATTGGTAAAAAAAAAAAAGTCAAGATAAACAAATAGATGATCTATCCACATCCCTGGACCGCTGCAGCGGTGGAAACACTTCAGCGCCTTCGGCACAGGATGTCAACTCAAGTCAACCAGTCCCAGACAGGTCACAATCAGGGCAACGAATCACAACACCTACTCAAATAGTATCTCAAAACCCCAGACGCAGCCACTGCTTCAAACAATTCCCATCACAATTTCACGAGTAAACACTTCCCATGATGACTGTAAGAAGAGACGCAACATCGCACTTCGAACAACATCCGATTCAACGCACAAGAGGCACAATTCGAAAACCACCCCTAAACAGTGTACGACGTGCAATTTCGACCCTCGCCAAGAGGACATAATACTAATGCACAAGAAGCACAATTCGAAAACCACCCCTAAACAGGTCCGACGTGCAATTTCGACCCTCGCCAAGAGGACATAATACTAGTATTAAATGCACAAGAAGCACAACGAAGACCACCCCTAAACAGGTGCGACATGCAATTTCGAGCATCACCAAGAAGACACAGCACTAACCAACCCGCTCAAAGCAATACTCTACACAAGAAACTTCGTCGCGTCCCTCCAAAAGAGAACAGCGTCCTTCGATATTCAACAGAAGAAGAAAGGCATAACATCATAGGCACACTGCAAAAACATGCAAGAAACAGTCCAATACCAAAAAGGCTGTCTATAGCCATGATAGCCGTCCGATCCCCAACAGAAGTAGGCCAAGAGCTCCAGAAGAACGTCACCACCTTAGCAGCCATCTTGCTCCTGGCGTTTGCAATCAACTCAGTGCCTGATCAGTTTAATATCTGATCTGTGGTCCATCGAAAAAAAAAAAAAAAAAAAAAAGGCGTCCTCACGCGCAATCCATGCCTGAAAGGGCGTTTCCGAAAGATCAGTCCTGCTTCGGCATGCTGATTGGGATCGGGATCCATGACAGTTAAAAGAGCATCATCCTGGCAAGCACGCCGCACCCACACACCAACGCACTCTCTGCTTAGCACGCCAGCATAACCATGCCCAGCCCCTTGGCTAGGAATGGCAGGGGCAGATGAGACCAGCAGGCATGGCCTCCCTGCCACCAGACCCGGCTCACAACGCCGCCGCCTCGCCTTACCCAAGGAGCTTCCAGCCATTGTGTTTCGCGGGTCTGAAGCGCTATCCCGAAAAGTCCGCCCTCTGCGTCCCTGCTCAATTTCGCCGGCTTTTGTCACTGTGAAGTTATTGACTGTTGTTCCGCTTTGTCTTTTCCCGTCCTTCTTGTTCCGCAAAACGAAATATCCCATTTTTCCTTTTTCATGCAGTAAAGACTTCAGTTGCGTTTTTCATGTTCACTCATGCATCCATGCATTTTTTAATTAATGCTGTATATAATGCTGACAGTCTATCATTGCCTATCAATGACTTTTTGCGAGTGTTTTTTTTTTTTGGCAGAGTGGCAGGTTTTGTGTCGGAGATGACTATATGGTAACGCCCTGTGGAAAAGGTTACTGGACAATAACAGTCTCGCAGGTACGCCTTTTCTTTTTATTTTCCCTTGTGAAAAACAGGGCTCGGGTTACTACCGAAGGTGGTATGAGGTAGTACCTTTGCCAGGCTCCATTCTTCTTGTCTTTCTTCGATTTACTCCATTCTTCTTTTCTTTCTTCGATTTATGTGTGTCATCCCTGGACAGGGGCCATGCTAATCTTCTCTGTATCGTTCCAAGTTTAACGGATGTCCCCAAGGACGCCAGACTCCATTCTATTCGTGGGTAGCATCATTTGCTGGAAACCGGGTCCAGCGTCCCATTACATTCCATGATTCCCATCGTTACATTGCATTGTAGCACAAAATGCTACACTATGCCTTCCGCTGGCGAGGCCTTTACACCGGACCGTCTGTTTGCCACGTGGCAAGCAACGTAGAGCCCGTCAAGGGTTGTAAGTCGGGTGGGAAAGGGGTGTTACTAGGGTTGGCAGAAATGGTTCGTGGAGTGGTGCCTGTGCATATGTGGGTAGGGTTGAGTGAGGCGTGGGAGCTGAGTGGTCGTAGGTGATGGCGGGTTGGAGTGAACTGCGGACAGAAGCTGCCGCGTGGCTTAGTACCATCCAAGTGAGTACTGCGCGTCTAAGCCAGGTGGCGGCGAAGCTGCGATCGGCTGCGGCCGAAAAGATGGCACCGTCGTTTACGTGGATCCGGAGGAAGCAGCGAAACATGATGGAGATTACATGGGGGCTGGRGGCCCCCCCCCCCCCCCCYCCTGAAAGCGTTTATAGATAGGCCACGACTGCGTGATTTGATGCGGTGCTTTTACGAGGAGCTTGAGGAGGGGCAAGGTCTCTGCGCCGCGTTGGAAGATCGATGTGGCGATGACGATGACAATATCGTGGACGACGTTCACGGCAATAACACCATGATCGCTGACGATGCCATCAAGACCAAAAGCACCGACGACAATAATCTCACCTACATCACCGGTATCCACAACAACAACAACAACAACAACAACAACAACAACAACAACGACAATAATCTCACCTACATCACCGGTATCCACAACAACAACAACAACAACAACAACAACAACAACAACAACAACAACAACAACAACAACAACAACAACAACGACAACAACAACAACAATAACAAGCCAATAGTGCCTGTGACTAACTCGCTCATATCTGCACAGGCCACGGACATCGACATCAACAACTGCACCGTGCCTGTGACCATGCCGCTGGTATCTATACAGGCCACAAACATCGACATCCATAACTACAGCAACAACAATAAGACTGCGCACGACAGTGGCATGGAAAGAGGGAGTCAGACTTTGTGCGTGCCTGGGAGCAACAACAATTACAACAACAACAATAACAACAACAATACCGCCCGTGGTATTAACAGCCACAATGACACTAATGACACTCACGGTGAGGAATCTGCGTCTGGCCATTCTCTTCCCCCCCCCCTCCCTCCCCTCTTGTTTTCCTTCTTGTGTGATTCCGGCGTTGATTGGGGGGATGGGCGAGAGGGTCAGTCGAATGGATTCTTCAGCAAACAGGAAGGCTGTGCGGGGGTGCGGGGAGTGGGATGGTGGCGTGAAGGGGTAGGATAGCGAACGCTAGTTAGCCAGGTTGTATGTGAGGGGTTGGCTTCACTATATCTGGCTTTCGACTTTTCCCTGCTCGAGCAATCCTTCGATTAATCAGGTTAGCCGGGGGAAACATACTCTTTTGCTATAAGCATAGGTTTCTCCACGTGGCAGGGCAGGACGTGCGGTGGTGTTCGGCATCACGGCTGCCTACGCGATTCATTTCTGTCCTGCCACGTGGGTAGCTTGCTATGAATTCTTGTATCAGTGCCTCCCCACTTGAGTGCTTTTGTGGATCGTTAGGATCGTGGGGGGCATATTGGTGTGGGTAATCCTACATAAAGTAGTGTAATAGTGCAATCAAACTTTGTTCAGAGATTTGTTATAATAGTCCTTCTACCTTCCTGTTCTGAGAGCCCCTCCTCCTCACGGTGCTGTAAAAGTTCTTTAGAAGATGACGAGGGTTTCAGATTAGGGATATGACTTTTGATTGTGCTGGGCAGTTAATCCCCTCGGTTGAGGGCAATCATTGCTTCTCATCAGATTAATGGGTGTGCCTACGTGTCGGTTCCGTTCACCTGTCATGTTTATAAGTAGGATGGACATGTGGCATGTATACATGAGCGGCCCTGTTTGTTTACAGTCCACCCACTTCTAAATGTCAAGGGACGCTGGACCCGGTTTCCAGCAGGTGTTGCTACCCACCAATAGCCTCCCCGAGCATGCTAGTGGTGTCTGCTCTTATCAGCACCTCTAGCATTCACTCGGGTTGTTTCTATAAAAAAAAGAAAAGGGGGGGGGGGAGGAAAGAGAAAGATCTGTCCTTTGGAGGGGAGCAGTTGGTGTCTTTTCGCCCAGCTACTGAGTGTCAGCTTTCCATCCCTTCCATCCGAGCACCCCGGGGCTCGGCCCCTCCTGTGCATTTTGGTTATAGGAGGCTACCACGAAGAGAACGGTGGGCGCTTAAGGACCATGGATTGACACAATCGATGGTCCCGACCAGTCGCTTCGTGGTAGCCTCCTACAACGGAAAGGCATAGGTGGGACCGAGGCCCCGGTTACCGCTTCTGCTCGCCTCCTTGTACACAAAACATAACATCCTGAGACAGCTGCGCAGCCTCTTCCGCCATCCATGGCCACCAGATAGACCCAGACATAGCTGGCTGTGCTCTGACTCCTTGATTCCTCTCAGCTGCTGCTGCCGCCGTAGCACTGCAGATCCACTATCGACTGCTGGTGAGGAGGGAAGAGGTCCAGGAACCCGGAAGGGGGCCTGTGGCATACTGCGCAGCCACACGGGCCTGCAGGGCCCGACCAGCGTTCTCAGCCTAAAAGCCTGAAAACAAGGGCCTACAGGCCCTGTGTCGTTTCGGCCTAAAAGCCTGAAAACAAGGGCCTACAGACCCTGTGTCGTTTCAGCCTAAAAAGGGCCCTCCAGGCCCTGAGTCTTTTCAGCCTGAAACGGAGGACCATTTTCAGGCCCTCATAAGATCGACCTGCCCTGAAACGTAGGCACCAGACCAGGGTTTTAGCACAGGCCATTTTGGGCCTGTTTTCAAGACAACCTTCATTTGAACTTCAACGCCAGGGTCTGGCACGTTTTGGCATTGGCAAGAGCAGCCTCCTTGTTACATGCTGAAAGCCTACACACGGGCCCCTCACGGGACCCGAGGTTGGAATAGGGCCCCCAGGTCGCGTCACCGCAACCTGAAGGCCCTATGGCATTTTTACTCGGGCCTGCATCAGAAAAATGCCAGCTTTAGATTATTTTTATAGTCTTTATTTTATTTATTTGCCGCTGTTTTTCTAACGGGTGTACTGTTGTCCGTTTTGTGGCCAGGTACACGCTTCTAGGGCCAGGGCCAGATTCAGG